AAAAAAAAAAAAAAAAAAAAAAAAAAAGCAACACACCTTTGGAGAAATATTTCAGCAGCCTCTTGTGGAAAAACGGGGCTCTTTCCCCTCTATTCAGCAGATGAATACCACAACAAAATACAGAAACACAAGAGAGAAAGAGAGAAAAAGAGAGGGAACGCGGAGCAAAAGTTTTAGCTTCTGTGTGTATTTGTGTTGTGAGTTGTGAGTGAGTTTGTGAGTGTTTTTTAAACACGAGTGTTTTCTTTTCTCCTAATAAAATATCTGCAGTAGTCCGGAGACGTAGGCATTATTGGCCGAACTCCGTTATCAATTTGGTGTGTCCAATTTTTTATTTTATTTCACTTTTATAGATCCGACTTCATGGAAATTTCAGCGTATTTTTCCCAACAACTGGTATCAGAGCCAGATTGTTAATTCTGTATTTTTTGTGTGTGTTACTATTCCGTAAATAGTGAAAACATGAATAGTGTCAAATTTGTCGGCGCTACAAATTTATCTACCGGCGTGTTCTGAAACACGGTAGTTCACAAAAATTTACAGAAACGATCCGACAAAGAAGTCAGATCAGAGTCGAAGTGATGGCTGCAGACGAAGGAAAAATGAAAATTGAAAAGTTCGATGGTGCGGACTTTGGCTTCTGGAAGATGCAGATCGAGGATTATCTGTACCAGAAGAATATGTATCAACCACTCACGGGAAAGAAGCCAGAGGACATGAAGGCAGAAGAATGGAGTCTCCGTGACAGACAAGCCCTTGGAGCTATTCGGCTGACGTTATCCCGTAATGTTGCTTTTAACATTGCAAAAGAAAAGACGACAGCAGGCCTCATGAAGGCTCTTTCCAACATGTACGAGAAACCATCAGCCTCAAATAAAGTTCATTTGATGAGGCGATTGTTCAACCTACGGATGACCGAAGGTGCTCCGGTGGCACAACTTCTCAATGAGCTCAACACAGTTACAACCCAGTTGAGTTCAGTTGAGATCGAGTTCGATGATGAAGTACGGGCTGTAATACTTTTGTCTTCCCTACCAGAAAGCTGGAATGCTACAGTCACAGCTGTGAGTAGCTCATCGGGAAGCAATAAGTTGAGATTTGATGATGTCCAAAATTTGGTTCTCAGTGAAGAGATCCGGCGGAGGGAGTCGGGTGAACCATCAACCTCTTCTGTATTGCATACAGAGTCGAGAGGAAGAAGTTCAACCAAAGAAAGCAGACATATCAAATCAAAGGGAAGAAGATCCAGGTCCAGAAATCATCGTAGTTCCCAAAACTCGAAGTCGATCGAGTGCTGGAATTGTGGGAAGACCGGACACTACAGAAATCAGTGCAAAAGTGCACCGAAGAGTCAAGAGACAAAAGAGGAGGCAAATATTGCTTCAACCTCTGGAGGAGATACGCTGATATGTTCTTTGGAGAACAGAAAAGAGTCTTGGGTGTTAGACTCTGGAGCATCCTTTCATGCTACCTCACAGAAGGAACTATTCGAGAATTATGTTCCTGGAAATCTTGGTAAAGTTTACCTTGGTAATGAGCAATCATGTGAGGTTGTCGGCAAAGGTGCAGTAAAAATCAAGTTGAACGGGTCTGTTTGGGAATTGAAAAATGTCAGACATATTCCCAACTTGACGAAGAATTTAATCTCCGTGGGCCAGCTAGCCAGTGAAGGCTACACGACAATCTTCCATGGTGATGATTGGAAGATTTCAAAGGGTGCGATGACAATTGCTCGAGGCAAAAAGAGTGGTACTCTTTACAAGACCACAGGAGCATGTCATCTTATTGCAGTTGCAACAAATGAAAGTCCCAATCTATGGCACCAAAGACTTGGGCATATGAGTGAAAAAGGGATGAAGATCATTTACTCAAAAGGAAAATTACCAGGCCTTCAGTCAATAGAAATTGACATGTGTGAAGGCTGTATACTTGGAAAGCAGAAGAGAGTCAGCTTTCAGACAAGTAGAAGAACCCCAAAGAAGGAAAAGCTTGAGCTCGTCCACTCCGATGTTTGGGGCCCAACGATTGTCCTATCCGTTGGTGGGAAGCAATATTTCGTGACTTTTATCGATGATCACTCCAGAAAGGTATGGGTTTACTTTTTGAAACACAAGTCAGAAGTATTTGAAGCTTTCAAGATTTGGAAAGCTATGGTGGAAAATGAGACAGGCTTGAAGATCAAGAAGCTCAGATCCGACAATGGTGGTGAATATGTAACCACCAGATTCAAGAAGTTTTGCTATGAGCACGGGATCAGAATGGAGAGAACCGTGCCTGGTACGCCTCAACACAATGGTGTAGCTGAGCGTATGAATCGAACGTTGACTGAAAGAGCCAGAAGCTTGCGTGTGCAGTCAGGCCTACCAAAGCAGTTCTGGGCAGAAGCAGTCAACACAGCAACTTACTTGATCAACCGAAGTCCATCGGTACCACTGGATCACAAGTTACCAGAAGAAGTATGGAGCGGAAAAGAAGAAAAACTCTCGCATCTTAGAGTTTTCGGGTGTGTAGCATATGTGCACATCAGTGATCAAGGTAGAAACAAACTTGATCCAAAATCAAAGAAATGTACTTTTCTTGGTTATGGTGAAGATGAGTTTGGCTACCGTTTATGGGATGATGAAAACAAAAAGATGATCCGCAGCAGAGATGTCCTCTTTAATAAAAGAGTGATGTACAAAGACCGGCATAACAGAAGTGCCAGCAACTCAGAAGCGAGTGGGCCAGTTTATGCAGAGGTGGAAGATATCCCAAACATTCCTACAGTAAGGAATCCTCAGTCAGAGGAATCAAATGAAGAAAGCGGTGAGCAATCAGAACCTTCTACTCCAACTCCTGTATTGAGAAGGTCCTCTCGGCCCCATGTGCCTAATAGGAGATACATGGACTACATGTTGTTGACCGATGGAGGAGAACCTGAAGATTATTGGGAGGCGTGTCAAACCCCGGATGCTAGCAAGTGGGAGCTTGCCATGAAGGACGAGATGAAGTCCTTGATCTCAAATCAGACATGGGAACTAGTCAAGTTACCCATAGGAAAGAAAGCACTTCACAACAAATGGGTGTATCAGGTGAAAGAAGACCATGATGGTTTCAGGAGATACAAAGCCCGACTGGTTGTCAAAGGATTTCAGCAGAAAGAAGGAGTTGACTATACTGAAATCTTTGCTCCAGTTGTAAAGCTCAATACTATCAGGACTGTGTTAAGTATTGTGGCTAGTGAAGAGCTTTACCTAGAGCAATTAGACGTGAAGACTGCATTTCTTCACAGAGATCTAGATGAGGAGATCTATATGCACCAGCCTGAAGGTTTTTCAGACGGAAAGAAGGATATGGTGTGCAAATTGAAGAAAAGCTTGTACGGACTGAAACAAGTTCCAAGACAGTGGTATAGGAAGTTTGAGAGCTTCATGCACAAGGAAGGTTTCCAGAAGTGCAACGCTGATCACTGTTGTTTCTTCAAGAAATATGAGTCCAGCTATATCATATTGCTACTTTATGTCGATGACATGTTAGTAGCAGGATCAAATATGAAAGACATCAGAAATTTGAAGATGCAGTTGTCAAATGAATTTGACATGAAGGACTTAGGCCCAGCGAAGAAGATTCTTGGAATGCAAATCACGAGAGATAAGCAAAAGGGAGTTTTGCAGTTATCTCAGGCAGAGTACATCAACCGTGTTTTGCAGAGATTTAACATGGACAAGGCCAAACCAGTCAGTACACCTTTGGCCAGCCATTTTCGTCTATCCAAGGACCAGTCTCCTCAAACAAAGGAAGAAGAAGAGTTTATGGCTAAGATTCCTTATGCTTCAGCCATTGGAAGTTTGATGTACGCGATGGTCTGTACGAGGCCAGACATTGGCCATGCAGTGGGAGTTGTGAGCAGGTTTATGTCAAAACCAGGAAAAACTCACTGGGAATCAGTTAAATGGATTTTGAGATATCTACGGGGCACAACAGAAAAGTGTCTGTATTTTAGAAAAGGAGATCTAAAGTTACAAGGCTACGTAGATTCAGACTTCGGAGGTGAAGTTGATCACCGAAGAAGCACCACCGGTTATGTTTTCACTGTCGGAACTATAGCTGTTAGTTGGATGTCGCGAATACAAAATATTGTTGCTCTATCCACTACAGAGGCTGAGTATGTAGCAGTGACTGAAGCCAGTAAAGAATTAATATGGCTTCAAGGATTGTTAGCAGAGTTGGGTTTCACTCAGAAGGAGAGTGTCTTGCACAGTGATAGTCAGAGTGCGATACATCTGGCAAAGAACTCAGTGTTTCACTCCAGAACTAAGCACATCGACATACGATATCATTTCATCAGATCTCTGCTTGAGGATGAAGTGTTGACTTTAAAGAAGATTGTAGGAAGCAAAAACCCAGCAGATATGCTATCGAAGGTGGTGACCATTGACAAACTGAAGTTGTGCTCAACTTCAGTTGGCCTGCTAGGATAACAGACCGGAGAAGACTACTGCAGAAATTGAGGTGTGAGGACAGATTGAAATCAGTCCTCAAGTGGGAGATTGTTGAGTAGAAAATGGGTGCGCCCATTTCATCTGACAAGTAGTAAAATAAAATAAAAAAAAAAAAAAA